CCCTAAGTAAGGCTTAGGGGAAAACCTAGTAGTTTTATGAAATAGCTTCAGGTAGTGAGGTAACCAGGTCTTTCCTCTGTTATCCATTTTATCCCTGTATCGATGCCTTCTCCTAGGACCTTAAAAAGGAGTGGGGAAAAGAAGGCCTAATTCTCTCTCAGATATGAAGTCATGGTATAAGGTGAAACAAGTACCAAATGCTTGAATGTTGTTTGGCATAGAGAAGTGTTTTTGTTGAAGTTTTAGGAGGCGGTATACAAGCAGCCTTTCAGTCTCACGTGCAGCAAAATCAGAGATTGCAGTTATGTGCTTCATTAGACTAAAAAGGTAATATTTCAGATTACAATTAATACTTTAACTGAGTCAGCCCAATGTTAAAACACCAGCATATATTGTCACTAAACTGTGTTTTGATGCCCTCAGCTTTTAATGCACCGTATAAGGAAATTCATTTTCTCGGGAGCAAATCTATGAAAAGAGAGGTAGAGCACAAAAAAAGTCTAGTAGTAGAGCAAGACTAAATCCATCATACAGTCGGTGCAAGACGTCCCAGACACTGATCACAGGAATGCATCCTGTGGTGTCACTCGTCCATTATGTATCATTTTGGCCCTGATTTTTGGGGTTCAACTCAGTCTGTGACTGACTCAGGTAGTCAGCCGTTGGTACCAGTTTCTGTCTGGACTATCTTCTTCTAGTATGTAAAGTTGGCAGGCTTCCCCCCCCCCACCCATGACCCCTTTGAAGTACTTTGCGGAGATCAGAGGAAAGGGAACAGGAAAGTTAGTAGTAATTGCATGTTAGTGGTACGGCACAAAGCTAGCGTCAGCAATATTGCTAATCTCCTTAGAGAGGTTAAAAGTAGTGATGAGGCCAGTGTGTCTGAAGTTGTGTTGCCTGACCAATGTATCTGTGTCAAAAATGTACCTGCAGACATTCAGATCTGAGCTTTCAAGCACAAACTAGTAAGGCCGTGGAAAATTTCAACTAATTTATCCTAGCTTCACCTTAAAAAATTGTTGACTTACACTGGCATTTTTCACCTTTTTTTGCCAAACTGATTCTTAAAAAACAGAACAAAAAGTTCTGGTTAGCCTCGTGCTATCCACTTAAAATATCTTAAATCTTAAAATATCACTTACCTACCTTAATTAATTTTACTCACTTGTCTAACAATTTCACTTTACTGGTTAAATTGTTCTGCATCCTTTAAGTACATACTACTTTCCTGCTGTAGCACCTTTAGGTGTATGTAGACTGTCATGGCCAGAATACCACAACTATCTAGAGAAAGTGAACAGCTCTGGAGAAATGTGTGCTTTGCTCAATGACCAGCAGTGCCCACTACAGCAGCACTTCTAATGTATGCAGCAGTTTAATATAGTTCGTCAAGGTTCAAGGTCTAGCGCTGGAAGTCATAACCAAAATGTTGATGTACTGGTTTCATTTTTGTAAGATAAGCATTCAAAATGCCTTAGGAGCTTTTTCGTTGTTGTTCACAGCCAAGATTAGATTGCTGTTGAACTGTTTGAAGGTTAGTTAAATGCTTATATCTGAAATTACAGTTTAAAAGTGATCTGAAAAATCAGTTTAAAAAATGGAGACTTGCACCCTCCTTACTTTTTAGAAGCCTTTAAAGTGAGGCTGCTGCAGCTATTTATTTTTTGTTTCTGTGTTCTCCTCCAAACTGGAAGCAGTAGTTGTAGGTGCATTTGACTTTATTGTAAGATTTGTTCAGGAGTCAGTTTATCCTTAGTTTGAGTAATGGTAATAAGGTGTTTAGCAAAGAACACCACTGCTTTCCCCTCTGACTTCATAAAGATACTAAAAAGTGATCGACTGTTTGTATTATGTAACAGCTGTTTCTGTAGAAGACACTGTAGAAAACTCTAACTCATTAATATTATTTAATAATTTCTTAGCGATGGAATATGATTGTTATGACCTTGACTAGAACATTAGTTGTGCCTGAAACTTTCTGGATAGAAATAACTTCACAGCTGGGTGTCCTGCAGAAGCTAATAGGGCTTTCACAGATGACTTCAGTAAGACCACAGTTATTCCCCATAGGCATTCTAAGTAACAAAAGCCCCAGTCTATTCTGCAAAGGAATAAAAGCTGCTGGGAACTGTTAAGTCCTCTGTGTTGATTGTCGTCTTTGATGTCCCCATGTTCAGCATTTTGTAGTAGCAAGTGGTTGGATTTCATGTGTTAGAAGCGTGCTGAAATGTTTGCAGAAGCTTTGGGGTAGTCTGTTGTAAAAGAACAGAAACCTGATGCTTTTGACTTAGGGGTGACGTGGGAGCAGAGTCACTGCTGAATTGTGGTGCAACCTCTTGAGATGTTACTCATTTAAAACTCAGTAAGAAAGCAAATACGTACAACCCTTTTGCTTGTTATTTCTCTATTTCCAGTAATAAAGAACACATGAAAAATAAACCTACAAAGAATGGGAAGTGACCACAGCTGATGAACAGCACCCTCTGCACTCCTGGTTTAAAAAGGATGAATTTGCTCAGCCTACTAGACAAAGAGAAATAATCCACTGAACTTATCTCTAAGAAATGTCAGGATCTTTGAAGCGTGGAAAAGATTGTTAGCCTTGGCAAATGTGACATGAAGCATTCCACACTCCACTATCGTGTACTGTCGCTTGCTGAACTGTGAAGAACTGTCTGTTAGAGCTGCTTTCTAGTATACTGCCAATCACCTTTTTTTGGACTTGAAAGTGGTATTTTCTTATTGACTTTTTGGTGACTTCATTTGCATGCATTCTGTAACTATGCACAAGCAAACTATACTATCTGCTTTACCTATTTAAAAATCAGCACAGCGGTGAGTAAAATTAACTTCACTTGTTTTCACCATTCAGTTCTAATCACTTAAGTCCATGTTGGTGGAAATTGGAATTGATTACATGTGAAAGGGTTAAGGTAAGCCTCTGCACATACTATATGAAAATGAGCCTCTAAAGCTATTTTCACTGTTAGTGAAAAGAGAAAGATGTTATTTATAACAAGGCCTTATGTTGTGTACATATATTGTCTATGAAATATTTTTGATTTTAGTTTATTGCTTGTAAAAGAGAAATTATATAATTTATTTAGTAAAAACTGCTGTAAACTATAGTTTTATTGACAAATAAAATATTTTGTTCCCAGGACTCTGACGAGCGTCAACCTGTTTGTGATTCATACAAGATGTACCGTTCTAGTATTTCTGTACCTTCAAGAAACGGTCTTTAAGAGGTGGGCCAACCCACTGTGCAACATGGCATCTGTCTCTGCCTTCTACCAGCTCTTCAATTAAGAGCTTCCACTGAGAAGGAGGAGTGACTATAGCTGAGCAATGTTATTGATCAGTAACTTGGCATTCTTTCCCTCGTGCATGAAGGAACATACATGCCAGTACGCACTACTCAACAACAGCATTTCAGGATTTTCAGTATGGGCAATCATTTTAAGATAAATACAGAAACTGTTCTGGTTTCCTTAATTCTCCTAACAGCAGGGACACAATCGCAAGCACCAATAACCACCATCCAGGATTTCACACTTTGATGCAGCAGTGTATTGAAAAAGTACATAGTTTCTTCAAAATATATGAAAGCTACTGGGAATAATGTTTCTTCTAGAAGTAAGTGCTAGCACACCTGATGGCTTGGCAAAATAAAAATGTGTCACTTTAATTCCTAGAATTATGCCTTCTGTGTCTCTCTAGAATTTCTCATTTAAAGTTTATTTTCTTTTACCTTGCTGTGTCGGTGGGCGAGGCGGGGGGGGGGGGGGGGGGGTTATGCACAGAACAGAAAAAGGGAAGAGCTCAGTGATTCTTTTTCCAAGTAGGTAGATTCTCTGGCTGAACCTAGAAACTACATCTCATGACTGTCCCTTTTCCAGGCTTTTGCAATGAGTTTGCTTAATCTCAGCAAAACAACTCTTCTGCAGCATTCTCCCTGGAAATGCTAAGCAAAGAGACTAATCTCTTTGCTTGCTCTGCAAGCAAAACAATGTTATACTTGCATGTAAGAGTTTCTTCCTCTGTGCACGGCGTATGGCATATTTAGCATGTGTTTTTCTATGTAAAGTAAGTACCTGTGATTCAACTTTTTCCCTTAAAAAGACTAAAGTTCTTAGTTTAAGCACCAGATTAAACTCCAAAAACAGGCATATACTAAGTTGATTCTTTTTCCAATTATCTAGCAGACTGCAGTATCCAAATTGTTCATCCTTCGCAAGAATCCAGAGGACAAAAAACTTGAGAGACCATTCTGTCCAAAACCAGTGTGTCTATACTAAATGTTTCGGAGGATGAACCATCATTTGTGTACAGTCCTTGAAAAAGGTCATTTATAAGTGAAAACAGTCCTTTAATACTTGCTAAAGGAAATCCTCTGCAGATAATGGAGCCTAGTGATGAATCCACCTCTGAAGCATGTCCACTTCCTACTTTCTTTTTATCAATATGTGCTTCCACTGAGAGGGAAGAGTGATTATAGCTGAGCAATTTCAGTGGTCAATAACGTGGCTCTCTGTCCCTTGTGCATGAAATTATGCAAAAATTCAAACATCCAAGAGGGCAGAAGGCCTGTGAGGATGTGTATGTTTCACACCTGAGTATTTGTTTTCTCTTTAGTTTGCATCAGTAGTGGTTCTTTGATGCGAATTTAAAGACTTATTTTTCTCAGAGCTGGTAAGGGAATGCTTGTCAAGCAAAAATAGAACACATGCAGAAGGCATGGGCACAAATAATCAACTCCCTGGGGTACTGAAGTGATGTGTTGGTATCTTTCTCTAGTTCTAAACAGATGGAACTCACCACAGGGAGCAAAATACAAAGAATCAGGTCACAGGCATGTGGACCTTCGGTGTGCAATACTCAGGCCCTCCGAGATGCCTGGAAGGAAAAAGCACAGGTTGACGCCCACTTAAGAGATATATAGGGAATAACTGTAGATCTGTTGTATCTGACCCTGTAACTTAATCTTGTGGCATTCAGAGGGAGAGTTTTCCCTTTGGCAATAGCTTGTAATAGCTACCACCTTGTTGGCGGTATGTTCTTTTGTTTCTTTTTAAAAAAAAAAAACAAACAGGCCTGCATATTGCTCTACTAAAATTCAACATTTTGAAAATACTGCTTCCTACCCCAAGATATGTTTTCTTGTTGATGTTTTTTTCTTGCACTTCAGGCAACTTAATTTCCTATAGCTCAATACTATTTGTCCCAAAGCACTGAAGGATAGTGATAAAGAGCAGTGTGTGGTGCCCTCTGCCTATTCCACATGGAAGCTCTTTGCTGACTCATTTTGCAGTGGTGCATGTATTTACTGACAAAAAGATATCAGCTCCTTGCAGACTGAAAGTATAGGACCTGACCCTGCCGCTACTTTGTGTCTGGAACTCCTGCTGCTTGGCAGTTACCCTAAGCAAGCGCAAAAAGATATTGGTACCAAAGTGCTGTGGTATGGACACCATTCACCTAAGGGATGACAATCAAGATGAAAAAGGTTAAGAAATAATGGTTAAAAGTGCTGTCCAGTAGCTCATGTCTTTTGGAAGCGGTGGGAACACTTCTCTTTGGCAGTACTGTTCATTCACATTGTCCACAAACATTTTTAATAGGAATTTTTTAAACTGGAAGTGCTAATACGGAAGAGTATAATTCATCTGTAGGAATTCATTGATCTGTAATTATCTTAAAAACAAGAGAAACCAACAGTTCCTTACGCTTTCAAAAGACATCTAATGATTACAGAAAAATCACTATGGAACTACCCAGAAACCACCAGAAAATGAAATGAATATCCTCAGATACCCTTTTTACAGGAACGGCAAGGTGTGTAAACAAGCAGTATCTTTCACTAGATCAAGTGACATACAGAAAAAGACATTCTTCCAAGTATGAAAACTAAACTGTGTTTTACTCCTGTTTGCTTTTGTCGGAAAAAAAGTTACTGTTTCTCCCTACAGACCTTAACTCAATGTGTAGGCCATTATAGCTGTAAAAACATAACTAGGTTCTTCCACAAGTCATAAGAATGTGGGATTGCTCCTCTACCAGATGGAGAGTATTTTGCATCCATCCATTCGATGTCTGAAAGTTTCAGTCTCAAAAGGCAGTAAGAACACAGACCCCAACCGAGTCTGAGGGAAGATAAGGGTAACGAAGCAACACACAGGACCGCTCCAAAGAGATGAGAAGGTGACCAAACAGGGGGAGAAGAATGAATGTGGTCTGGTGTAGAGAACTTTGACTATGCCAGACACCAAAGTCTCTGCTAAAATCTGCGTAACGAACTTGAATTGTCTGGGGGTTTGCCCTTTCTGTGGTTGAAAATAGTAAGAATATAAAGCTTGGGGGGAAACTGCCTGTCTTGCCTTAACAAGTGATTCCCTAATACATTGCAAGGTGGCGGCTGTTTACTCAAGCGAAAGACCTCTAGAAATATGAAAATGCTGCACATAGTAATCGGTGTCAGGCTTCTTCGTTCCTGCGTGCCTCACGTATTTATGACTTCCCTTGGAACTGTTGCATCGTACAGTGGGAGGACCTCAGAGGCCGTATTTCGGTGCTCGGACAGTTTTTTCGAGTTTTTTGCTCAGTACGGTTTTTTCGTAGCAGCTGCCTCCTCAGAATTATTCCTCGTTTCCCTTGTGAGCCACTTTTATTATTTCAGCGCACGCAGCGGCGCGTCTCGCTGAGCCTCTCTGACATCTGGCCATGCGGTACC